TTCCCAGTTCTACTAACCTTAGGCAGTTCAAAAATCGTATTAACAAAATTTCTTTGGGATCATCATAGCAGCCGCGGTGTTCCGGCATTTAGGCTTCTGCCTGCGCGGCTGTTTCGAAATATAAAAAAAAAAAAAAAAAAAAGCTGTTATAAGATCACTCATACCTACTTACTAATCTGGAAAGATTCAGAAGAAAAACATATACTGCAAATACCTAAATATATATTTGTTATATAAATCTCATACAGCTTTCTACAAACAAATGAGTATTAACATCATTATGGTCAGATGTTTTCATTCCCCAGCTTTTGTTGGCACCTGCATAAATCAAAAATTAGAAAAAAATTTAATTGTGTTGATATGTTACTACAATTCACAGGTTTCTTTTTTTATTTGAACAATAATATGATTGTCCACGGGTATCCACAGGAATTTTTCTCAATGTGCTGATCATCATCAAGAGATAACTGTTACCACAGCTCCCTGTGGGCACCCATGTTACTGTTCAATATACTGTGCTTTGATTTCATTAAAATTACAGTAAGCTTTACATATCAACCCTACTGCTCTGACAATAGCTGATTTAAAACGAAGTATGAAAACTAACTTGGACAAAAAGCAGTACAAATCATCACTAGTTATTGATTCATATAAAAACTTACAAATGTTATGTTCTTCAGGCAGCAGCGGTGGCTGCAGTAGTAGGCTCTTCGGTCTCCTGATCAGTCGCCGTGCGCTGTGCGGATTCGAGTCCCGTCCCAGGAGAAATTTTTCTCTTGGCTATGGATGTTGTGATTGTCCGTATGTGGTAGATGGTCTCTGACTGTCGAACGCGGAGGTACCACCCGGCGGTTCTCGTAGGCGGAGCCAGAGTCCGTGTGGCGTCCCCCCTTTCCATGTATCGCCCTATAGCCCCACGGTACCCAATGGGTGCTTAGGCCTTCGTGGTAGTTGCAGTATAAACAAAAAAAAAATATTCTGCAAATATCCTTCAGAGTTGAGTCTTTTGGTTAGATCAGAAGTAATCTCTGAGCTTCTGATAATTCTCAGGACTTCAGGGGTTGACAACAGCAGCTGTTGAACTTTTCGTGGCGCTCCACTGTTCAAAGAGTGATGAGGAGATACAAACAGGTATGATCTTACAATATTACATTCCTAAAATGAGTAACCGCTGCATCTCTGATCTTCCCCAGGATCTGCCAGAAGCCTGGCTAATGACTTGGATCACCTTAAAAAAGAAACAATTTTGATGTGGAGTTTGTCTTATAGTATTTACAAACATAGGTATTACGGCTTTGTGTACTTACATTGTTATACTTCACAACTCCGAACAAAATGCATATGGCTCAAATAACATAATAGAGACTTTACTTAATTAAAATGAAATGTTAAGAAAATGACATGCTAAAAAAAATAAGGTTATTTTTGCAAAGAGCACAGGAAGAAACCCACCGGAAATTTAAATCTGGTCAATCAGAAAACGTCAGTTGTGAATAAGTCGTCATTTTTTGAGGGTGCGACGTGGTTGTCATATTATGCACCAGCAACACTGCTTTGTTTCCCATTCGCCAATATGAGTTTCACCAGGGTTGGTACCCACAAAACATATACCACAAAAGATGGAATTTCCCCTGCCTCTCGAAGTTTTGACAGTTTCAAGTTACACCGGGAGTGGTCAGATGGCGCATGTTGCGCAAAATGTTTGCTTTAACCTGCTTGATAAACGTAGCTGCCTTGTTTGAATCTGAAATAAAAAGATCGATCGTTTTTTGTGCAATGTAATAATTTAACTCAATTTTCGGTACTGCGAAGCCAAATTTTCAATTGAGATGCCTGTTTTTAAATGAAATTGACATAAGACCTGTCACCCGCTAGTACCTCACAGACGTTGAGCGGGTACCCGTACCACGTGATTTTTTGACATTCGGACGACGTCACATCCGTCTTCCCCTATTCCCGGTCTTCGCGAAAATTTGAGAATCGGTTCCCGGTAGTGCACTGTGCTACACCGTGGACTCGCGAAAAAAATCTTTATTGGCAAATGGGTAACAAAGCAGTGTTGCTGGTGCATAATATGACAACCATGTCGTACCCTCAAAAAATGGCGACTTATTCACAACTGACGTTGTCTGATTGGCCAGCTTTAAATTTCCGGCGGGTTCTTTCTGTGCTCTGTGCTTTGCAAAAATAACCTTACTTTTTCAGCATGTCATTGTCTTAACACGTTAACTAGAGATGATCTTAGCAGCGACTTGCAAGTCACCGGGATACCGGTGACAGTGACCTTAAAGTCGCCGGTAGATTTAGCAGCGCTTTAGGTCACTGCTTATCTATGGTCGCTGCCAGCAGCCAGCGAGTCGCTGCGGCTGATTAAATTACTCGATATTTGGCGGCGGTTATCCATTGATATTAACGAGGTGTAGATGTTTAGGTTCCTGAGGATTTGAATTAAACTATATTTAAGGTTTTTGTTTTTAACAATATTGAGCACAAAACACATAAAATCATAAAAATATATATAATAATAATATACAGGGTGTCCGCAAAGTTGGGGTTTTCCTTTACACGACGTGTAGATCTTGAAAACATAAGCAATTTTTCTTAGTACCATATACACCAATGTCTTAAGGGAACCGAGCTAAAGGGCTCTGCAACATCAAAAATATCTGAATACCGTCCTGTAGCCGCGACCCGCGATATCCCCGACTGGTACTAGGACACTACCACAACCCGACGACAGAACTGGGTCGGGGTCAGTGTGTCAGGTCAGCATGCAACCTTCAACCGACGGTTACGGTCACGCGTGTAGAGGTAAACGAACCCATATAATCGATTGCGTTTCAAAAAAATAATAATAATAATGGCACACTCATACACCAATAATGAACTCGTTGATATGTTGTTAATTTATGGCGAATGTCTTCAAAATGCTACAGAGGCGTCGCGAGTGTATGCAGATCGTTTCCCTAGACGACATCATCCAAGGCCCCGCAGATTTGTGTACCTGGTCCAGAGAGTCAGGGATACGGGCCATTTGGAGGAATTTCGAGGTGGGCACAGTGGGAGGCCTAGACAACCACGAATGGTGCAAGTTGAGAAAGAACTACTGAATCGCGTAGACGAGAATCCCTCAACAAGCACTAGAGACGTGGCTAGAGAAGTGCAAGTATCAAAAACTAAAGTGTGGCAAACGCTGCGTGAAGAGGGGCTGTATCCGTTTCACGTCCAACGTGTACAAGCCCTTCAACCTGACGATTTTCCAGCAAGAGTGCGGTTTTGTGAGTGGTTGTTGCATCAACATGACTATTATCCGGACTTTTTGAAGTGCATATTGGTGACAGACGAATCTACGTTCACGCGTAATGGGGTGAATAACTTTCGCAACACTCATGTTTGGTCAGTAGAAAATCCGCACGCTGTCCGTCGGGCACATTTTCAACAAACATTTTCGGTGAATGTTTGGGCTGGCATGGTGAACGGTATGCTCATTGGACCATTTATTCTCCCAAATCGATTGGACGGGATGCAATACCTAGACTTTTTACGCAACATTTTGCCTTCCTTGTTAGAAGATGTGCCATTAAGTGTAAGACAATCAATGTGGTTTCTGCACGATGGTGCACCGCCCCACTTTAGACGCGAAGTGCGTGAGTTTTTGGATGAATTATTACCGAATAGGTGGATCGTGCGTAATGGACCCGTAGCGTGGCCTCCGCGATCTCCAGACTTAACACCATGTGATTTTTTTCTTTGGGGAGAAATGAAACGCTTAGTGTACAAAACTGAAGTGCATACGGTTGACGAACTTCCTCTCAGAATTGAACAAGCTGGTGCTTTCATTCGGGGGAGAGACTCCATTCTCAAAGCCTGCACCGATGCTTGGCTACGTCGTGCACGCACCTGTGTTTTTGAATCAGACGGCAATAACTTCGAACAATACCTATAAAGTACGTTTACCTAAAAACTGAAAACGCGGCAACGCCGTCTTATTTGTTTGGTCTGCACCACCGCCGGCGTCTGCTCGGTAGCGCATCAGATGATTTCATTTTCTGTTGGAGCGGTATGATTTCGGGCAGAGACGTACGTAGCCCTTCTCGTCAACTGGAGAGTGAGTACTTTTCCTTTATTTTTTTTTTACTTGGACGCCCTCGTTTCACTACACATTACCTTTGTTATTTCAAGGGTAGTTGTTTCTGAAAAGGAAAACCCCAACTTTGCGGACACCCTGTATATCTATTTTTTTCTTGTTAGTACAATAAGTTTGAAATAAAAATGTTTGATTTTTCTTGCTAATACAATAAGTTTGAAATAAAAATGTTTGGTTAATTTACAATACCTGGAATTTTATTTTGGGCGCCGCCAGGTTTTTTAGACTTACAAAATCAAGCGCCGTGATCCAAATGGAGATTAACAATTCAATATAATGTCAGACTAAACAGCCTGACGAGGCCATGTATGATTCTGGTGCTGTCAGACATAAATGACTGACGCCGCCAAATAATGCCTAACAGTATGTCAGTCATAAACGAGTGACAGAACAAAATAAAACAAGAATAAAATAGTATGCCGGCAGTCAGTCTTTATCACTTACTGAAAAAAAAATTCCATATATCACTAATCTTTTTGGCGCTTTGACATATTTATAAGGTGCTTGCAACTCACAACAATAACAATAAAAACTAACAAAATAGGTTAGGCTCTAGGCTACGCTGTACTTCCCGCGCGATGATCGCGATGTGTATATGCTTCCTGGCAGCGACCGCGACCGAAACAGCGTTACAGCTGCCGATCAGTGGTTACCGATACCGATACTTCCAAACAGCGATCTGGGTCGCTGCTTAATGGAGAATCAGGTCGCCGGGACTAACGGCGACCATTCAAGTCACCGGGAAGGGTCACCGGTACCGATATATCGATCATCTCTAACGTTAACTGTCCAAGCATATTCTCTGGATTCCACCAACACGTCCATTATGCCACATACATATTTTTGTAATATTCCGTTACAAAGTGTTTTCAACTATGTTTTATAGACAAAATCTCATCACTCTCTCCGTCTCTCCCCTCCATCTTCCATGATCACATATGATTCATGAACGTATTGGTTAGAATAATATATGTCTCACGTCCATGAATCATATGTGAACATAAGTCCGATGATACCCGAGCAAGTGATTTGTGCATAGACATATTGCCGCTAGACTAGGCAGGGTATTGGCCGCTCTGTGTATAAAAGTGAAATGCGGGAGATCACTCTGGGTGGTATAGCTATCTTTGTTTGACACACGCTCGCGCAAGCGCCACTGTAGAGCTTTATGAGAGCTCTGCGTTTTATCTATTTTGCCAGGATACCTAATCTAGTCGTATTTTGTCTACGAAGATTTGACGCTCAGAGACTTTGGGAATGGCATTCTTCGATTGGGGTATGAGTGCGGCATGATTAGCAGTTTGTTTACTTTTAATTTAAACCCAGTTAGTGCTAATAACAGGACTATTTTGGTAAGTTCAGTTGAATTTATTTCCTTCTACAAACATTTGGAATTTGATTGTATGGAGGTAGAACTTCGTACGGCGCAATTTCAATCCATTCTTACCTATTTTTAGTTTATGGTGAGTTATTTCAGGAAAGTCTTTTTATATTTAGTTTTGAGTATGTACAGGACGTCTTCACATGTGCTGCAAAATAAATTAGAAAATGTCATAGAAATTCTACCTCAGCCGTGTGGTTCACGAGGCATGCAATGATTTTTTTTTTCAGCAATGGCTTCCACCAGACCATTGACAGATAGAGAACTCCAGGAGGAAATTGACAATATGAGTGACATGAATGATTCTGATTTCGATAGTGACGACAGTATAGCAGATGAAACATTCACCTGCAATTTTGGATCAGAAAGTGATGACAGTAGCGATAGTAATGGATCTTCTCCAGTGGCGTCCGATGAAGATATAGCCAATAATATTCCAAATCCCAATAATCTCACTATTCCGTGGTCAAGTACAGTCAAGATGTTGCAGCGACATCAGTTTACTGGAAAATCAGGGCTTCTGAAAAACATTATATGCTTTGATGGTTCTGATGGTAATGTGCGCCCTGTGGACATATTTCTTTCTTTTATAAATAACAAAGTTCTGGAGCTAATGGTGCAAGAAACTAACAGATATGCTCAACAATTTTTGAACAATAGGCAACTGCGAAGATCAAGTAGACTTCAGAGATGGAAAAATACTGATATCTCCGAAATGAAAAGGTTTTTAGGGCTCATCATGCTTACGGGAATAATAAACTTTCCGCGTATAGAATATTATTGGAAAAAAGCCAAGTATATTTCCACCCACTTCTTCACAAAATAAATATGTCTTATAACAGATTTGCCCTACTACTAAAGTGTTGGCATTTTGTTGACAATAAGCTTCACAGGGATAATGAATCACGTACATACAAGGTTTAGCCTTTGATAGATATGGTGCTTTCAAACATATTGTGCTGGTGAAATTGTAGTTATCGATGAAACTATGATTCCTTTCAGAGGAAGGTTAAAATTTAGACAATACAACCCCTCAAAATCTAGCAAATATGGTGTAAAGATCTACAGTATATTCAGGTAAGAGATAGACCGGATGTAAACAAAAGGTTCGGGTGATTTTCACGCTAACGCCGCCGTCTCGACGTAAAACAGGAGCCCTCATTGGTCAATTCGCAATTAAATGCCTATGCCGAGCTGCAGAGCAGTCGTATCAAGGCAGAGTCACATTCAGGTTCAGACGTGTTAGAGTTCGAACAGCCTAAGGTTATGCCCGCTACGTCATCACTTTATACCCTCTCCCTTGCGTCGATTGTACCCTATAAGAATATAGGAAATTGTTGTGACAGTCACTGGTAAGATTTATGGACATCTGTTACCGCCCTCTTAATGTGGTCCAGTTCTAATCGTGGCGAATATTTATATGGTAGAAAGCTTAAAAATGTATGTGGTCTTCAATGGCCAGAAATTATGTTGCTGTTGACGCTGTTAAGGGACATCCCACTCTCAGAAAGCCATAGGCGGAACGTTTTTTAGTATGTAGATTCGCAAGTTTTAGTCAGTTGAGATTGTTGACACAATTGGGATCTGATGAGACGTTTGATCGACTTATTTATTTTTTTATTTATTAACCATATCATATTTTATATTTGTGTTGAAAATTATTAATCTTATGGGGTTTGTGGATATTTGATGGAGATCCATAAATCAAAATTTAAAATAGTGAGCAGGTACCTACATATAATAGACACAATATTGAAGGGTAAAACCCCAAAGTTGGCAAACAACTGAAAGTAATTAAATTAATCCTAAGACTGTGATCCGCTTATATCTATACCAATCATGAGATTTCCTAGAGTGCATCATTAGTACCTAGATAAATAGGCTAATACCAATATCAAGCATAGGTAAACAAAATTAGTAGAAACAAATCTAATAATAACAAGTGTAAAATTGAACTACCTGGAATAATTCCCGGTTGCTAAAACCCTTCGTTCGTAAGTATCGTTAAGATGATGAGTGTTAATCAATCACATTTATTTTACCTGCAACAGATATATAAACCTGTCCCTTAGTCATAAGTTCAGTTTGTAAACTAATTTGAACAAGACACGGTGTGTAAAAATTGTCAAATAGATTGCAATATAGTGGAAATTTTTACTATTGTTCAAATTTAAATTATTAATAGTTTTGAACCAGTGATCTAAACAATGTCTGTGAAAGAGATTGGCGTGACAGGAAAGGCGATTGGGAGTCAAGGAAAGGAAATTATCAACAATGTCAATAACTTCATGGTACAGGAAAGTGTAGAGGGATTAAAGTTTCCACTTCAACAATATGTATGAATGTAAAAGATTTTTATAATTATTGTCAATTAAAACTGATTAACCCATTTAGGAAACGTGTGTTAGCTGCCACGGGTATAAGTAAATGTACTTATCAAAAAATAGCTAAAGAGAGCAGAGATGGAATATATTCAAGCAACTTTTCATTTTCATCCCCATCTAAAAAGCGGCAACGAAAATCACCTGTCGTGGATAAAGTGACTGCAGGCCAAATTGAAGAAATGAAAGCAATCATATAAGATTTTTATATTTTGGAGAAAAGAAGACCTTCGCTGAAATGTAAGTTTTTAAATTGTAACCGTAGCATCTAGTCATATTTCATTTTAAGATTTTTTAGGTATTTACCAAAAAATGCAAGATCGACAACTCAATTTTGAGGGTAAAATAACGACTTTGAACAAACTTTTGAAACAAATGGGCTTTAGGTCAGTATTCATACACACTAAAGGTTTTCGGTTTACAACGCTATAAATATAATTTATATCTACAGATGGAAAAGAACTACTGATAATAAAAAAGCTCTCATGGAAAAATATGAAATTAGCTTGAAGCGTATCGAATATCTGAAGCAAATTATGAAATATAGAGCTGAGAACAGGAACATAATTTATACGGATGAAACATATATACATTCTAGTCATACCCCAAAAAAAGGATGGTCAGATGACAATTATGACAAGGAACTAAAAACGCCTTTATCAAAAGGACAACGAATGATTATTGTGCATGCTGTTGGAGAATTCGGCATTGTTCCTAACGCCTTGTTGATATTTAAATCAGGTATTATTTGTGTTACAATGATGTAAAATATTTCCAATATATTTTTACATTTACTGGATTATATGTATGTATTTTATTTTCAGGCTCAAAATCTGAGGACTACCACAACGACATGAATCATTTGAACTTCATGAAATGGGTAGAAAGCCAATTGATCCCAAATTTGCCTGAAAATTCTGTGCTTGTAGTTGACAACGTTTCTTATCACAATGTCCTGGAAGAAAAAAATGTAACGTCTTCTAGCCTGAAATCAGAGATGATTGACTTGCTAGAAAAACATCAAATTCCTAGTGAAAACTCATTAACTAAGGCCGAACTATATAAAAAAATACAGAAAAATAAAAGAAGATTTCCAGTCAAATTCAAGCTAGATGCCTTAATGGAACAGCACGGGCATAAAGTTTTACGACTGCCTCCATATCATCCGGAGCTAAACCCAATCGAGAAGATTTAGGTTGTCTGATTTGGAGCATCTGACCCGTAGCAGGTTTGAAGAAATTGGAGCAGATGAGTGGAAGAAAATTTGTAACCACGTGAAAAAATATGAGCAAGCACAAATGGAAAAAGAACATCTTCTCGACGATCAAATGGATAAGTATCAATTCAATGTGAACACAGGGTCATCATCAGAAGATAGTGACGAAAGCGACTCAGTGTGTTTAGCTTCAAATCTTCATCTATCATCTGATAGCGATTAGATTTTTTAATGATAATATATAATTTGAATTATAACCGTCTTTAGTTTGCTCCCTCTTCTAATTCAAATTTGCTTCCGAACAACTTAATGCGCATACTAAATGAATATAATAATACAAAAATCAATTAATGATCAATGTCTACACAACCTATTCACTTTATTTTATACTTCAAATAAAATAGAACGCCACTGCGCTCTGTCGACGACCGGGTGATGAGCGGACCCGCCCACGATGACGTAGCGGTCATATTCTAAGAGCGTTCGTATGTCGTGTGCATCATTGCAATTTAATATTTCTTTGGACGTTTTCGTTTGTTATCTTATTAAGTTGTTGAGTTTGTCGTTGTTATTGTTATACCTTGTTATTGATTGTTATTGTTATCAACTGCTTGCGCAAAATGCCCAGTAGTACAGATACTGCCGATGAAGTTGTAAACTCCTGTAGTCCACCTAGGAAACGCTCTAAAAAAAGACACCTGAGTGCAGAAATGAAAGAGGTCATTTTGAATATATATAAGATCGAGGAGAACGAGGCATCAACCATCAAAGAAATTGTTGTGAAGGTTTCTCACAAAGTTGGGGTGTGTCGCGCATCAGTGTTAAGACAATACAAAAAAAATCACACCTTTTCTGAGCCAATGACCAGTAAACATCGCAAAAGTATTGTTAAATCATTGGATGAAGCTGATAAGCATGCGATTAGGAGGAAAGTGCATGAATTCTTCTTTAGGAATGAAATACCTACTATAGATAAAGTACTGCTGGAGTAAATGGAGATACAACGTTGCCAAATTTCAAACGATCAACTTTCCATGCGTTACTGAAGCATTTAAATTTCAAATGGAAAAAACGGGGTCGTAATAGTTTACTACTGGATAGAGAAGAAATTGTGCTATGGAGGAGGGATTATTTAACAAAAATTGGGAAATATAGAAATCAAAACAGGAAGATTTATTACCTTGATGAAACGTGGGTAAACGCAGGACACACTACAAGTATAGTATGGGTTGATGATTCTGTAACTTCATCCAGGAGGGCCTTTCTAGATGGACGGTCCACCGGATTAAAAAATCCAGCAGGTAAATACGAGTAATAGACAACAATCGGATGTTTTTCAAACCTTGGGAACAAGGTTCTAAACATTAATTCCAGGGGGCAGATAAAACATATTACAAGTAACAAAACTTTTATAACTTTCGATAAAATGCGTGGATGTTTTATTGTCATTTTCATTTGTTAGAACTTTTTTATGCCATGTTTTTATGTGTTTTCGATATTTCAATAATTTTTTAATATAATCTTAAAATATGTCGAATATTATAAACTTAAAAAAAGTTACTAAGTTTTATATTGTGTACCGTTCCTAATATTTCTAATCATTTTAATTCATACTTTAAGCTTTATAAAGTTATAATTTGTTAATATTAATATTTGCGCGTATTTCAGGTTCCTGATCATTCATTTTTTAAAGGTTTATAACTTTAAATTAAATTGTGAAGCGCTGAGTAATCATACGACGTTCAATATTCTTTCTTTCAATATGACTAAATAATCCCAATTATAGCAATCTGATGCTCATGTCTCAATGTTTTTTCGCTGAATGTGATGAAAACATTTGAAAAAGTTCGCTTATTGAAATAAATCTACACCAGTTAGTACTTCGATTTCCAGGTAAAGGGAAAAGGCTCATTATCTGCCATATTGGCAGTGAGGATGGATTTGTTGTTGACGGTCTGTGGTGCTTTGAGTCTAAGAAAACTGGAGATTACCACGAGGAAATGAATGGCGAATCATTTGAACAGTGGTTTTCAAAAATTTTACCGAACTTAGAGGAATACGCAGTAATTGTGTTGGATAATGCGCCTTATCATTCTCGAAGAATGGAGAAGGTCCCAACAACGGCTTCTAGGAAAGTTGATGTTCAAAATTGGCTCCGCTCGAAAAATATCAACTTTGAAGAAGCAATGCTGAAAGTACAATTATTAAGAATTGTCAAGGATCACAAGGCGGAATATCAAAAATACGCCATTGACGAAATGGCAGCAAGTCAAAATAAAACTGTGCTCCGTTTACCTCCATACCATTGCGAGCTCAATCCCATTGAGCTCATATGGGCAGAGGTTAAAAATTATATAGCTAAGCACAATACAACTTTTAAATTTTGTGACCTCAAAGGACTTTTCAAAGAAGCACTAGAATTAATAACAGCGCAAAAATGGGAAAACTGTATTAAGCACGTGAAAGACAAAGTTGAAAAGAGAATGTGGGAACTGGACAATATTTTAGAGGAACAAGTCGAGCCATTCATTATTGACGTTGGTGCTTCCGGCAGTAGCGATGACGAAAGCTCATCAAGCTCATCTTTCCAATAAAAGGCGTCGTTCATCAAATTCGGTAAGTTATAAGTAATTATAAAGCTACTGTATTTTTTAATTAATTATTGACATTTTTGAACCCATTTTGGCAAAACCTATTCAAGAATCTACTTTCTGACAATGTTCAACCATGCACATTTTTTTACGTTTTGAACGTTTTAATTTGGTTACATATTTACCTAGAAATCAAAAAATATACTAATCAATATTCTAAAAGCAATTTTAAGAGATATACGATTATTTTTAATTTAGGCTAATTTAAACGCCATTTTGAGATTATATTCGACTGTATTTCACCAAACATCAGGCGGCATTCGAAGCTGGAAATCGAAGCGAAAATTTTGAAACCCTTATGTATATTTACATCATTATATATTTCTTACCCCACCCCCACATGATCCTATATCCATCACCAATCGTATACACATCGAATTGTGCTAATTTACTACAAAGTTACGCAAAGCAGCATCTACTATCTAAAATATGTACTGCGTGACTCTTAATACGTCCCTGCCGAATGTTACAGCCTTCGATGATCACGTGGTCTTGTTTATGTCCGGTCTATCTCTTATCTGAATATACTGTATAAATTATGCACCACAAAGGGATTTACGTATTCCTTTTCTATTTATTGTGGAGATGATCCCAAAATTCCTGAGTTAGACAAGCCTGGATCTGTTGTAGTAAATTTAGCTGAAGGCTTATTGAATAAAGGACGGCTAATCATAACTGATAATTTTTACACCAGTATTCCTCTAGCTAAATATTTGCTAGGTCGTTCCACAGATCTTTGTGGGACTCTACGGAAAAATCGGAAGGGGGTTCCAAAAGAAGTTGTTAAGACCAATTTGAAAAAAGGGGACATAATCGCTAGACAAAGAGACAACATAACAGTTTTGAAGTGGCATGATAAGCGTGATGTTTGCATGTTATCAACTTGCCATGGGAATGATATTGCAGATACAGGGAGAAAAAATAAAGAAGGGGTTTCTGTAACCAAGCCCAAAGTCATTTTAGATTACAACTCAGGAAAGCAGGGAATTGATGTATCGGATCAACTAAGTAGCTACTACTCACCAGTTCGTAAGTCCGTGATTTGGTACAAAAAGGTGTCAATTGAGTTAATATTTGGCACTGTTGTAACTAATAGTTGGTTATTATACAACGAAATATCTACGGAAAAAAAGGCTCTATTGCTTTTTACAGAAGAAATAATTGAAGATCTTCTTGAAGTAGCTAAAACAACAACCCAGACTGAACCATCCACTGGTGAGCACTTCATGTCAAAAATACCAAGAAAGGACGACGGTAAAATTATAAGAAAAAGATGCCATGAATGCTACAGAAAAAACCAAAGCGAACATGGAACCCAGTTTGCTACCAAAAAAACTAAGCAAGTAGATACTTACTGTTCCATATGTAATAAGCCATTTTGTCTATCTTGTTTTGCTGTAACGCATAAAAATAAAAACCAGAAATGAACTAATCATTTTTATGTTGTATTTTCAGAATCATGTTCCTTTGTTTTGTAAGCTAAACCTCTAATAAAGTTGTAAATAAAAGACTTTTGGAATCATTTTTTCGAACATAAAAAATTCGTCTTCGAACCATATATGATGCGCCCTGGAAAAAAAATTTCAAACTCAATATCTTCTTAATACGTCCATGCAATAAACAGCTGCTTAAATATAACGTCCAATTTTTAACTTATCATAAGGCAAAGCAAGTACAATGCATCATATACGATTCAAGGGCGTGTAGACAAACACGTCTAATGATATGACATATGATTCATGGACAGTTAACGTGTTAACAATTTCATTTTAATTAAATAAAGTCCCTATTATGTTATTTGAGCCATATGCATTTTGTTCGGAGTTGTGAAATATAACAATGTAAGTACACAAAGCTGTAATACCTATGTTTGTAAATACTATAAGACAAACTCCACATCAAAACTGTTCATCTTTTAATGTGATCCAAGTCATTAGCCAGGCTTCTGGCAGATCCTGAGGAAGATCAGAAATGCAGCGGTCTCATTTTAGGAATGCAATATTTGAAGATCGTACCTGTTTGTATCTCCACATTACTTTTTGAACAGTGGAGCACCACCAAAAGTTCAACAACTGCCGTTGTCAACCCCTGAGGTCCTGAGAATTATCAGAAGCTCAGAGATTACTTCTGATCTAACTAAAAAGGCTCAGCTCTGAAGGATATTTGCAGAACATAACATTTGTAAGTTTTTATATGACTCGGTAACTAGTGATGATTTATACTGCTTTTTGTCCAAGTTAGTTTTCATACCTCGTTTTGAATCAGCTATTGTCAGAGCAGTAGAGCTGATATGTAAAGCTCACTATAATTTTAATGAAATCAAAGCGAAGTATTGTTATTGAACAATAACATGGGTGCCCTCAGGGGGGCTGTGGTAACAGTTATCTCTTGATGATGATCAGCACATCCAAGAAAAATTCCTGTGGGTACCCATCGACAATCATATTATTCTAATAAAAAAAGAAATCTGAATTGTAGTGACATATCAACACAATTCAATTTTTTTCTATTTTTTTTTTATGCAGGTGCCATCAAAGGCTGGGGAATGCAAACACCTGGACCATAATGATGTAAATACTTATTTGTTTGTAGAAGAATGTATGAGATTTATATAACAAATATATATTTAGGTATTTGCAGTATATGTTTTTCTTCTGAACCTTTCCAGATTAGTAAGTAGATATGAGTGACCTTATAACAGCTTGTGTTATTGACGTTGCTATTTTAACATACAAAAAAAATGATTTATTCGTCAAGATAGCGCAAAATGTTAATAACACATGCTGTTATAAGATCTCCCATATCCCACCAAATTTCTATATATAAAAGTATAGCAATCTCAGATTTATATGTTGAGCTGTCAACGTTGCGGGATATTAATGCACAATCTGGCAACCATGTTGCACTCTCAAAAAATGGCCGCTGACAACCATACAAGTCACCGTGTTGCCATTGAATAGCATGGAGTTAAACCTTCAGTTTATATGTTTTGTGGGTAACAAGTTCTGGGGAAAAGCCAAAATATTTGTAAGTAAATATTAACATTTCAGATAAATTCCTGGGTATGTGATAGCGTTGATTATCCTTCACAATATCTAGGCCTAGGATGTTAATTATTTCCTGTCTCGACAGGAACTTCTATAATTTTTTAGTGAAATGAAAGGGCGGTTTTCTCCGCCAGACCACAGACGGGGCAAACGTCCTTCGATGGATGATAGAGATGAACGTCATCGAAGCCCCCCTTTATTTGAAAGAAGACCAAGTCAAATGTTCAGAGGCAATAGAGACAGGAGAGACACTGAGCGATCTCACGACTTTGATATGTGTGCCACAAATCAAGATATAATTCCGATCCAGAATGGTCCAGGAATTGGTGCTTCAAATGTGTGGTCTGATCCAGCACCAGGGATGTTGGGAGCAGAAATGGGTTAGTTTTAGGATATAATTTCTGATCTTTTGTATATGAGGTATTTATTTTGTGCCAGATTAGCAGGGGTATTACATAACTTGAAAAGAGACAGTTTTTTACAAAGGTTTTTTATGAAATGTAGGTTTTCCTGCAAGATTTTAACTTGGAACTAGCTGTCATTCACTTTATGCTCACTTTTAGCATGCATCGAGTGAACTATTTGCACACTAGAATACTTGATCACCAAGTTGACATTTTATTGGGTTTTTTGACATAATTACATGTTTTTTTATGTGATAACTCTGCCCCAGGGTTATGCTTTGGTATGGAGTTGTCCACAAAAATGGATCAGTGTTTATATCAATAAAGCTAAATTAAAATCTTAATCCAATCCCATGTATTTGGAGGATTAGCTCATCCTGTTAGGAGGATGATTTTATATGTTTATATCATTCACTCTTACTCCTGAGATCATCACGTTTGTTTTAAAATAATCACTATGATATCAATGATTTGTGCTGGATGATCTTAGGATTAAGATTGAATATTCTGGATGTAATTACTTGGGGTCATCCTGTTAACAGGTGCAGGGATTATGCATTAAAATTGAATGCTGATAAAACTGGACTTGTTACTTTTGAGTAAATTATCTGCCAAAGGTGAGTCGCTGTTGGTTCGTTGTAATAGCGGATCAATACCTGAATTGGTCAAACATCTGTTTTGATTGGTAAACTCCACAGCTTCTGTGCGTTGGTATGGCGGCTGCAGAATGAGGTTTCATTGCACACTTTACGACAATTTTATTATGCATCTGTAAAGTCATTGTTAACTTATATTGTTCTGGGGCTCTTCACGGGGTGCCATGGCTGTTTTTATAGCGCAAAAGCGCAGCCTGAGATGCATTTCGACACTTCAACCTTGAACATCATGCAGGAACATTTTTCGAGATTGGGAGTCTTGACGGTCTCATCCCTGCATCTTTTGTCACTTGTTTTATTTGTTAAAAATCATATGTATCTTTTTAATAGTAATACAGATTGTTATGCTGAAAGTATGACCATTGTGACCAGAGGCAGAGACACTCTGAGTGTCCCTTCACATTCGTCCACATTTTTTAAGAAGGCTCCATTATACATGGCTGTTAAAACTTTTAATATGCTTCTATAATAATAAAATCTGAGAGCAACCACATTAGGTTTAAAAGAGTGCTGAAAAAGTTTTTGCTTGACAGATGTTTGTACAGCTTTGATTTTAACATGTGAGCTCTATCATTTTATTTTAATAACATTTTAAGTCAATTTTAACACACTGGACTTGTGTTTGTCATTTTAACAGTTTTTAATATTGTATATATGCATGTACAACAAAATTTAATTTTGGTAGGTAACCCTTGTACAATTTTTGATAACTTATTTGTAACATATCATTTTACATTTGTATTTTTATTTATTTTTATATATATGGTCCCTAAATGTTATTTATATTTCCCATTATGGTATTGTCCTACATGTTTGCTTTTCTTTGTTGCTTATGTTTTTCTTGTGAAATTTTGCTGTCAATAATAATAATCATAATAATTATTATTATATTATTATTATTATTATTATTATGTGGGATTTGATTAAGATTTGGATTTGACCATATCGATATAAACACTTTAATCCAGTTTTAGAAATTCTTTTGGCAACTTCACATCAAAGCACTCGTCACTATATGAGGAACAACCTAATTTAGCATGGATAGCACATATGTTAAACAATTGATTGATGCCCTCTGTCAAAAGCTTTTGTCAGGTCTGCATACACTATGCACTACATCCACTTGTTACTCATCCTCAATGTTACTAAGTATTCTTGAAAAACTGCTAAGTTCATTGCAATGGACCTTGCCTTGATGAACTCATAGTGATTCGGCGATAGAACTACAATGATGGTAGTTTTTATTGTCTTTTTTGGAACCAGACTTAAAATCGGTATTCACGATTGCTGCTACTTGGGGTAAAGTATGCGGACCGTGCAATCAATGGAAATCTCCCTGTACTTTACTAAAACCCACATATCTTTGAATTATGGATTGATAGATATCTGTAGAACAGTTTAGTGCTGCGTAATTCTTTTTTGAACGATATTTTGCATGACTGGAATTCAACAGTTAAAATAAAATGAAAGAAATTACAGTAATTGATTTCACAAAGTTACGAGAAACACTTTTACAGCAATATACCTGAAATTATCAATAATGCTGTCAACTACTTCAAACAAATTATGGATAATATGGATAAATATATGAGAGAATCTATGGTTAAGAAAACAGTATGTGAAGGAGTGAACCCAATCCCCTGATTTTCACAGGTATTCAAGGAGTCTTAATTGAAACGTGATGACGACTACAGAAAATTTTTTATAACCCAAAGTGAAAATGATTGGAAACAATATACAAAATTAAGAGATGAATGTGTAGTAGTTCTCAGGAGGGAACAGGAAAAATACTATGATAATAAGATCGAGCAATAAAAATAATTCTGAAATGATGTGGAAAACATTAAAGAATATTGTTTCTCTAATTACAAAGACTAAATTATCTAAAATACGTTTCCAAGATGGGATAGTCACAGAAAAAATAATTATAGCGAAAAGAAACACTTATTATATAGAAATAGACAGTATAAATCAAATAGAGAACACGATTAATGGCGGTGATCCCAAATTATGTTCATTTCAAGTTTATCATAATTCATCAGTGAATCCAAGTGAGAATCGATCAAAAAAGATTGTAAGTGATTGTTTCAATATTATTATCAATGGTGAATCATTGTTTAATATATGGAAAACAAAATTTTGACAAAAAATCAAACTACATTTTAAAAAAAGATTCTACAGAAACAGCAATACAAATGGTGGTGGAAGACTGGAGAAGATGTATAGAGGAGAAAGAATGTATTTTAACAATATTTTTAGACTTCAAAAGGGCATTTGAGACTATAGATACGGAAAAATGTTAAAGAAATTGCATCACTATGGTTTTAAAGGATCAGTATTAAACATTTTACAAAACTATTTCGTAAACTGAAGTAAAAAAACTAAAGCTGGAAATATGTCAAGCGTTCATAATATATCAGTAGGTGTGTCACTGGGGAGTAAATTAAGGTTGTTACTATTTATTATTTATATAAATGATATCTCTGACAGTTTAGAACACTGCAAAATTCGAATATCTGCGGACGATACATTTATATATAAGGACATAAACATTTGGGCACTGCTTTAGAACTGTTAAATAGTGATATTGAAAAAAATATGAATTATTTTAATGTTAATCAGCTCAAATTAAACACTAATGAAACAAAATGTATGTCAATAGGGCAACATTTATTTATTTATTTATTTATTCAACTTACGGGCGAACCCAATTATACATGTGTATTATATGTAAATAGAAAAATGCACCGCAAACGTCGCGTAAGTGGCGCTACATATGTGGTAACAGTAACATATAATAGTATATAAGGCAATCAACTGGGAACATAATCATCTGCGAAATTTAATACAGATGTTCAAATGAGGAAATGCAATAATCTAGTAATCATAAATTCAAATATTACAAAATGAAAAGACTACTCAAATGTAAACATAGACTTTGATAAATTTCTAACATTATAATTACTCGAATTATACAAATCAAGCCAACTACTGTGTTCATTACATAGTTTAGATAATCTAAAAACGGGAGAATGATTTATCAGATCTGATTTAGGTGACATAACATGAAAATAAACATTATTACGTCTTAACATTCTTGGTGGCACATAAAATCTGAATTTTGACAATAAACTGAAATTATCAATAATGTTATTAAATAAATTATAAGCAAATAAAACATCAATCCTGTTCCTAGCACTTTCAAGCGTTGGAATCATAATTTTGTTTGAAATATTTGTGTAGTTGTGATTGGTAAAATTCATTGGCATACCAGTTCTGTATGCAACATATCTTAAAAAGACATCATTGGCTCTTTCAAGAGAATCTATTTGATATTTAAGATAAGTATTCCAAACTACAGAACCATGGCTTAGAATTGGATATACAAAAGAATAGTACATAGTTCTGAAGGTGCTAATACTTTTAAAATCTCTTGTAAATCTCTTTAAAAAACTGTTTTTTTTATTGCTGAATCTCTAAATGTGTTCAATATGACAATTAAACGATAATTTAGAATCAAAAATGATACCAAGATCTTTTATGGAGTCTTACTTTTCTAACCCAACGTTGTCAAAGTTATAATCAACATCTTGTAAGTTACATTTACCACAAGTAATAAAATAATACTTTTTGATGTTAAAAGGTATGCCGTTTAATATACTCCAAATAAGTAACGAATTTATATCAATTTGCACTAAGTATCTATCATAAATAGATCTAATTACTTTATATAATTTTAAGTCATCAGCAAACAACAAAAATTTACAATGACAATTTACATTTAGCTGATGATTAATGACTATAATTCTTCCCCAACCATCGTGTATAGAGCATATGAAAACATTCAAATTCTACAAAATAAAGCTACGAGAATCATTTTAAACAAAAACAAATATGCTAGGATTAAGTCAGATGAACTACAGTGGTTGAATGTAAAAAATATCATTTTATTTAGTTCTTATTTTCGTATTCAAATTAAAAAATCGTTTATTGCCACCACATTTAGAAAACTTCACAAAATCAAATAGTCATTATCATAACTACGAAACTAGAGGCAGTATAGATTTTCATCTGCAAATTTGTAATAATAGTTAACTAGCAAATCTATATTTCAAAAGGGAATTTAATAAATTGAATAATGGTATTAAAATGTGTTATGATTTTAAAATGTTTAAGGTGATATTAAAAAATCACTATGAATACTCAGAATGCATAGTGATGTAATTTTAATAGACAATAATGTAAAATTACAGAAAATGGATTCAAAAAATGTGTAAACGAATAATTAGACAAAATTGACATTGTAGCCTTAATGCTAAATAAATTTTCCACAAACAAACACATTTTGGAAACCATAAGTCAATTAAGTTTCAGTTAATGCTATGAGATCGTAATCTGCTGGAATCATACTTATTTAAAGTTTAAGTTTTGAAGTCTTGATTTTTAAACCTTCAACACAATTTCCTGGTAATAGGAAAATACTGTACCAAGGACGAGGTTTCTTGTGTCTATCTAACCGAAAATAATAAGGTTCAGGAAAGTTTGGATATAATAATAATAATAATCTATATTCTAAATTGTACAATGACATTACAAAAATTGTATAGCCACTACAAAATGAAATGTGTCACTATCACCATAACTATAGTAGTTTACCTGAGACCTTTTTTTGTGTTATATGGTTATTTATCTTCAAACCGCTACAATCTTAAAATATTACAACTCCCATAGAACTAATCTATTGTATAAGACTCTGACTGTACTAGACATTGCTTAATAGTCTTTTTAAATTTATGTAAACTGTTTATGTTTTTAATTTCATTTGGTAGATTGTTAAAAATTTCCTGGTAATAGGAAAATACTGTACCAAGGACGAGGTTTCTTGTGTCCATCTAACCGAAAATAATAAGGTTCGGAAAGTTTGGATATAATAATAATAATAATCTATATTCCAAATTGTACAATGACATTACAAAAATTGTATAGCCACTACAAAATGAAATGTTGTCACTATCACCATAACTATAGTAGTTTACCTGAGACCTTTTTTTGTGTTACATGCTTATTTATCTTAAAACAGCTACAATCTTAAACTATTACAACTCCCATAGAACTCATCTATTGTATAAGGCTCTGACTGTGCTAGAAATTGCTTAATAGTCTTTTTAAATTTATGTAAACTGTTTGTTTTTAATTTCATTTGGTAGATTGTTAAAAAATTTTAATCACATGTAAATAGGGCTTTTTTCTGAGGAGGATAATCTGTGTATCGGATAAGTAACATTGACTGTTCGAGTATCATAAACAGTTTGCACCTCAAGCTCAAATAAATTTTTATTTTTGAAAAAAAATATAAGACACTCATACAGATAGATGGCATACATAGTCATGATTTTTTCAGTTTCAAACACCCCCTGAAAGTTTCATTGAAATTTAGTTCCTTTAGCAGACGTACTGCTCTTTTTTGAACCACACATTTTTTTTGAATAAACCTATTGCGTCCCCAAAAAATAATCCCATTCTTTAGAACACTTTCAAAATTAGCACGGTACAATATTTTCATACTCGTATTATTTAAATATATTGATATTACCCTAAAACCAGAGCAAATGGAATTGAGCCTCTTCAGCAGTTCGAGTACATGTGTTGTCCAATCTAAAAATTCATCAAGAATTTTACACTTTCAATCAACTGCAGTTGATGATCATCACTATCGATACATTGTGGCTTAATGACTTTACTCTGCTTAGTTCTAAATAATGTTGCATCAGTTTTGGATTTATTCAGCACTAGTTTGTTCTCAGAAAACCATGTATTCACACTCCTGAATAAGAGATTCCCATTAGCAGTTAGGTCCTCTACACTTGTCCCACCCAACACTAAATTTGTGTCATCAGCATAACAGATAATTTTATGCTTGCTCTGATCACCACTAGTAACAAACCAGAGATCGTTTAAAAAAACTACCAACAAAATGGGCCCAAGTATACTACCCTGTGCTATGCCGGTTGAAGTTAACTCAATGTTTGACTTGTAAGTTTGACCTCCTTTAACAATTTCAACCCTCTGGTGTCTATTATAGAGGTATGACTTGAACAATTCTAGCGCAGTTCCTCTTACACCATATCTTTGTAGCTTTAATAACAATATGTCTCTGTTGATGCAATCATAAGCTTTGGACAAGTCCAGGTAGAAACCAACCGCTAAGTTTCCCTCCTCTAATTGCTTAAGTACTGTTTGAACATATTGAAAGATTGCAGTATCTGTTGACCTCACATGTAGGTAACCATGCTGATGTGTATTAAATAAATTAGTCATTCATAAATTCTAATAATCTCTTACTGATGCCTAACTCATATAGTTTTGAAAAACCTGTTAAAATATTGATTGGCTTATAATTTTCTAATTGCTCTGGACTACCTTTTTTAAAAATTGGTTTTATAATAGCTATTTTCAAATTCTCTGGGATTGATCCTTGTCTAAAAGCATTATTAATAAGTAAGCCCAAAACTTGTTTTAAAACTGGAATGGAAATATTTACTATTGTTGTTGGAACTTCATCTATACCACTGCTGAATTTATTTTTTATCCTCCTCGACAGTTCACACACTTCATCAACAGTCATTGGTCTTACGTATAATGATTGGTCGTTTTCTTGTAAATTGCAGGCAAAAGGTACCTGTGTCACATCTTTCAGTAAAAGCGGAATTGCTGATAATATATATGCATTATACTGCTGTGGTATCAGATTTGGATCTCCTTTGATATGAATGTCTTTATGATTGTTTTGACCTGTGATTTCATGACATATCGCCCACATAGATTTACTTTTATTGTCCGGATTTCTGATTTTCTGATCGTATCTTTCTGATTTGGCCTTCTGCAACAAATAGTCATATTCTTTTTTTGTGTTCTTGTACATTTCTTTATAATCACCATCTTCTCTACATAGGGTAACAGAATATCCAGTCTATTTTTGCACTCTGTAATCACTTCATTATATATATAGATTGATATCTTGATAGAATAAAAAGAAACAATTGCTTTTTGAAAAGAGGTATTTATGGAATTTCTTCATTGAAAAATGAGGTCAGCTGTTCATTCTGTTTGTGTTGGTTACTAATATCTGAATGGAAACCACATCCAACAATAATTGAATGCGTGCTCGTCATATTTTCCTCAGTTATACGTGTTCTTTGAATGCATTAGATGTAGGCACAACAATAAAACAGTAATACTCGATGCAGCTTCTGCGTAATGCTTACATTCTCTAACATGTCCAGAGAAAATAAGTTGATTGTCGTATTTAAATTTGTGTCCAGTGTAAAATGTGCTAATTTTCTCATTAAAACGACTCTCATTTGCTGTTTCAATATTTATTGTCCCTATCTGGTTAATCCAAATTTTATTGGTGGTTCCAGCTATGATTCCTGTATGCAAATATTAAACTTTTTGGGCCAGATTTGTTTTAAAAAACTCAGGATTAGGCACTTCATCCTTAACATCATTTTAACTTAAAGTGGTGAGAAACCTACAAGAAAGTTTGTCTTTAGTCCGTTAGCGTAGGAACCTTTATGCATTTTTAACCTTTGTGCCAGGATGTTTTAGTGTTGGCGCATTAAGAACTCAGTCTGCGCGCCTCGTCTCGCACTACTTACCAAATTTTTCAGAACACATCAACATGTTTGCTTTTGGTTGACAGTCTCCAAGACGAGACCTATACTGTACTGATGGGTGCTAACACACATGTAACGACGTCGTGAATGGTTGGTCATGATTATAGAGACGGAAAGCAAACAAATCCAGTTCAGCTTGTGTTAGTTTTCACATATTATACTGATTTTTACAGGTATGGGTTACCCAATGGTTGGTATGAATATGATAGTGGACCCAAATATGATCTCCATAAATAACTATGGAATGATGCCGTCTATCATGCCTCCTGATCCTAACTTAATCACTCCAGATCCATCAATAATGATGAATCCAGTCAAAGAGATTATTCATTGCAAGTCTTGTACACTATTCCCGCCAAATCCAAATGCTCCCATGCCTTCTACAAGGGATAGGCCTCCAGGTAGGTATTGCTTGATCAATCTATAATACCATATTTATGTCAGAATTTTTGGCAACAAGCCATTTGCGGAACTGCTAATTATATTTCAGCGCCAATTGATTATGGTTTTTGCCCATTATATTAATAATAACCCTTTATTTATCTTTGCAACATATATCGAGGCTCTCCCAGAAGTCATGCAGCGAACGAAAGGAGGTGGTAAGGGGGTCATTCAGAACAACCATATACAGTGAAATCTCATTTTGACGGACCGACGGGACCGACTGAAAATGTCTGTTCAAAAGGGGTGTACGTACAGGTATAAAAGAATTACGACAAAAATCGAGTTTTTAATGAAAACTGAATATATTAAAGAAACTGTGACAATTAAAACTGTATCCAATGTCGTAATTTTCTTTATTAACTCAAAAGCTGTACCAGCAGTTTCAATGTTTACTTGCAGGTGTTTGAGTATTAGACTTCGGTAATACGTTTTAACTCTTTATAAACCCTTGGACAAGAGGTTGACAAGCTGATGTACAATTAGCGGACAAAAATGAGATTTTTGTATTTTCAAGCGAATGTCTTTTGGATGAGATTGTCTTAAAATAACAAAATTTTTCTTTTGCCATTTTCCAATCTAGGCCTTAGAAACACTCTGTCTTAATTTTTTTTGTCATCAAAGCTTTCTTATTGCATTTCCAAATTACAAGTAGGTCATTTATGTTAATGCTTTCAAAAACTCAGGGTTTAGCTGTCTTACCAATGACTGGGAGTTTTTCTTTTTCACTCGCCATAATTACACAGTGCAAAATTTATTGTAAACCACTCGTTGGGATACTTACTCCCAACACATTTTTCCTTCTTCAATGTAAGCGTTTTGAGCGTAGAGCCCTAAAACGTGTGTCGTGAATATCCTTTAATCAAAGAAAGAGATTTTTTTCAAAAACGATGAAACATCTTCAGCATTAGCCAAAGAATAAGAACGTTAAAACCCCGACCAACTCGGGGTAATCCCTAATTCATGCCGGGCAGAAATGCACCACATATGTTAGGTGGTTGCGAAAGATTAAAGTCGGTGAATCCCCGGTTTAATCGAGAAGGTCCCAGCGAAGATGGCGCGCGGCACGATTGAGAATATGTAATAGCGATACTGTCAAAAAAAAAATAATAAGACAAGGCGTTTCTTTTTATTTTGTTTTTTGTCCGGTTAGGAGAACAGTTTCTTGTGTATGCGTCCGTTCAAGAGAATGTCCGTCCAAGATAGAGTTAATGCAATGCAAATTATATGAGAGTCAGTCAGGATCATGATAAACTGTCCGTTTAAAGGAGGTATCCGTATAAGAGGGGTGTCCGTGAAGGGGAATTTCACTGTATTAATTACAATTGTGTTCTGTAATAACTAAAAGCCACCACGCAATTTGACTGACCTACAACAAATCTGGAAAGTTACACGTTTTTAGTAATCCATGGATTCCTAACCTACTAGACATATTTTACCTTGCATATTGTTTGTAACTGCGAGGTTAAAATTACTTTTATTTATTTAAGGGTACTCGCTACATTCACTGCATTACAAATTATATATTTGGATGCTTATCGATTTCATGTTTTTTTTTCTAGGATGTCGAACAATATTTGTTGGAGGTTTACCAGAAAATATGACTGAGGATATAATCAGAGAGATATTTGACAGATGTGGAGAGATTACTACATTGCGTTTGAGCAAAAAGAACTTCTGTCATGTCCGGTTTGTTTATGAAGCATCCGTGGATGCTGCTATCTTTTTATCTGGTTATAGAGTCAGAATTGGCTCAAATGCAGAACCAGTCAATACAGGAAGGCTTCATGTAGACTTCGCGCAGGTACCTTGTTACAATGGTTAATGAATTTAAGGCTCTATGATAGTATGCCTTCTTTAGGGATGCTGGCGACTCACTTTTTTCGATCCATCTCACTTTTACTCACTTTTCATTGAAAGTGAAGTCACTATTATATATATATTTAACAGTTAGTATAATCAAAACATACTATAGGTTCTATAACATAACACATACATCTAAGTACATTCAAAACCAGTATCTAAAATCTCTGACATAATATATGGAGCAAGTTGTAGGAGATATTGCTCAGCACTACTTTTGAAGTTAGTTAATTCAAGACTTTTGGTCTCCGGAGGTAGTTTATCGTATAATTTGACCAGTAAATTCTGGTCTGCTTTAACACTTCCTCAGTCGGCACAAGATTTGGTCTGATTTTGTTCCTATTTCTTGTTTTATTGTAGTTTATGAACGTTATCGAAGGAGATGCCCTCTTTCTCTCAAATTAAATTATTTTTTTTATAATAATAAACCATGACTAAGTTGCTTATGTGCAGGGTTCTTTCCAAGCTGAGTCAGTATGTATTACATGAGAAATTACTAGAATTAGTTGAAATCTACGTTGAATTTTAATTCAGATTTGCTCAAAGCACTCTACACACCTGCACTAGAGATTTCAAATTCGGAAACGGTCAGCAATACAGTTCATCGTTTATGAAGGCAAAGTTGCGCATTTAGGTAACCAATAAAATGTTACTTAGGTAGCTTGGCAATTCAGAGAATTTTTAGAGAGATAGTAAATATAAATTTACCATGAACTCTTTTCTTTTCCTCCTGGCTTAGTTTGAGCTGGGATTTCAATATAAATTGCATTACTTTTTACAAGTAACTGTAAGTGTGTTAGTTCGTTAGTATGCATGTGTGAGACAAATCCTGAAATTGAATTTTCAACCAAATAATCTTAACCAATGAAGCTGACCTTTTGTATGCCTGTCTGGTTCGTGTGACAAAAGATTATGAATTAATTGCTGCCATTTTTAATCTAATATGGCGTATGCTACATAATGGCGATTTATCATTTTCATAGTATATGATATGGGTATCATATATGAAAGAGCTTGATGATAGAAACACAATAAGCGAACTGACGTCATTCTAAATTCAATATGACGGATGCCGCAATTTCGCGATTTATAATTTCTATAGTTATCCCCATTGATATGGTTATCGACTAAAATAGTTTGATGATAGGGATACCGTAAGCATCATGACGTCATTCTAGATCCAATATGGCAGCGGCCGCAAAATATCGATGTATAATATCGATAGTCACCCCCATATTATGGATATCAAATAAAAGGGATTGATGAAAGAAACACAACAAACAAAGTAACGTCAACCTAATGCAATATCTGATGATGAAGCCAGGAAGTAGTCATGGGAACCCGGCGAATAGAGCCTCGCTTGATTCCTAATGACAAGTACTCTGGTCTTACAGTCTGATGATAAAATTACTAGGATTAGTTGGAATCTATGTTGAATTTTAATTCAACTTTGCTAAGAGCCCCTCTATATACCTGCACTAGAGATTTCGAATTCGGAAACGGTCAATTATACAATCCATCGTTTATGAAGGCAAAGTTGCGCATTCAGGTAACTAATAAAATGTTACTTATATAGTTTGGCAATTCAGAGTATATTCAGAGAGACAAAAAATACGAATTTACCGTTTTCATTTTCTCCTGGCTTAATTTGAGCTGGGATCTCAATATAAATTGCATTAACAATGGTACTTTTTACAAGCCTTGTACAAGTAACTGTAAGCAAGTTAGTTCGTTAGTATGCACATGTGAGACAAATCCTAAAACAGAATTTTGAACTAATTAACCTTAACCAATCGAGCTGAACTTTTGTATGCGTTTCTGGTTCTTTTGGCAATAGATAATGAATTAACAGCCGCCATTTTGAATCTAAGATGGCGTATGCTACGTAATGGCGCTTTATCATTTCCATAGTATGAAAGCACTTGATTAGAGAAACATAATAAGCAAACTGACGTCATTCTAAATTCAGTATGACGCAGGTCGCAATTTGCAATAAGCAAAATGTGATTACAAATCAAGTATGTCGACATTTATAATTTTATTAGTTACGGGGGATGTCTTTTAAGTTTTGCATGTTGAAATAAAACAACACGGTAGGTAGTTTTAAATGACTTTATCGTTTTTCGAAGTATACTCCACATCTGCATGCGCTCGAACCAATTTTCGAAGCGCTTATTCCACTCGTTAGCTGGCAGATCCTAAACGGCATTTTGGAATGCGTCAACTGCTTCTTCTGGTGACTGGAACCTTTGACCACGCAGTCTGTTTTTAATTTTCGGGAAAGTAAAGAAATCCTTAGAACTTAGATCGGGACTATATATGGAGGATGGTCCAATAATTCCACGTTTTCTTCCGTTAAATACAGCCTTGTTTTTTGGGGTGTGTTCGATCTTGCATTGTCTTGGTAGAGGACGATTCTTCTTTCGGGGTTGATTTTTCGAAGCTCGGTGATGACTTTTGGCAAACAAATGGTGGTATACCAATCCGCAGTAACAGTTCTTTGCTCATTAAGAGGAACTGTTCCAATATGACCCGGTTTTGACACAAATGTCGCTACCATCTTTTTCGAAACACTTCGAGAACGACTTTTGTTGGCTTTTCTTCACCTTGGAACACCCAAACAGCCGACTGTCGTCTATTTTCTGGTTCATAACAGTAAATCCATGATTCATCACCACTAACAATACTGTACACATTTTTTGAGTTTTCGGAATTCAAACGGTCAAGCGTTTTTTGACACCAATTAACCCTGGCTGCTTTCTGCTCTTCAGTCAACAGGTGGGGTATCCAACGAGAAACTAATTTTCTTACTCCGAATTCTTCATGTAAAATTTTTTGAATTGAGGTCTTTGAGATCTTCAAGGACGCCTCAATCTCGCGATATGTCACATGTCTGTCTTAATGATGAGTTTGCGCACAGCATCGACGTTTTCCTGCGTGACTGCCGTTTTTGGTGCACCCACCCTGGGATCGTCGCTAAGACTCGCCCGTGTCCACGTTTGAATTCTCCATACCAACGGGAAATTGTCGACTGATGTGGCGCTTCGTTGCCGAAAACAGAGAGTAACTCAGCAAGGCATTCTTGTTGCGATAATTGTCTCTGAAAGTTGTAATAAATTATGCCGCGGAAATGTTCTCGGTTGAGTTCCATTTTTCTAATGTGACACTTAAAAATTCACTGTAGTCAGAACCCTTTACGTATTGTTGTGAAACTTTGAATTTCGGTTTACTAAAGAGTGAGGTTAAGACTCAGAACTGACGTTCGATCCGCGCGGCCTACTATGTTTCTATATGCAAAACTTAAAAGACATCCCTTGTACACCTATGGTATAGTTATCGACTGATAGCGCTTGATGAGAGAGATACAATAATTTTCATAGTCGCTGCCATATGGATATCAAATGAAAGGGATTGATGAAAGTAACACAAAAAACAAAGTAACGTCATTCAAATGTATTATGGCGGGCGTTTAATATCACAATTGACAATGCAATATTATTAAGACATGGAGCTGATTTGATGATGAAGCCAGGAAGTGGCCAAGGAAACCAATAGAACAGACCCACTTAATTGACAAAGACCTTATGTGAGTTATTCTCGTTTTTTCACACATTCTTATTTATATTAAATTTGGCAATATATTCAATTTCTCAGAAAAATAACTCACTTTTTAATGTATAAATTCATTATTTCTGACTATTTTCTCACTACCTATTTTTGAAAATCTCACTTAAATTCATCCTTTGGACTACCAGCACCCTTGAAATATGGGATCGTAAAGTTAGTCTGTCGAAAAATTTAGTACTCTAGTTATAACAGCTGAGGAGATGCGATTTGTCAAAGTTAAGCGTTTTTTTTCGATAAATTGTTCAATATCTCAACAATTTGAAAATAAAAAAGAAAACAGGACTTTTGAAAGTTATCCAATACAAGTGGCGCCATATATTATCAAAACTAGCGTTGGATTGGTACATCTTTCATTGATGCCCTGCGTTATAGAACAGAAGATTTACCCCTACCACTAAAGAAGAGGATCGAGTTTCCCTGGATCAGCGCTTTGCCACATCCAGTTTTATTTTATTGTATTCAGAGTTAGTCAGTCTGTTGTTAGCGCTCATACTATATACATCAATAGAATTGTATTTTTGATAATCGAGAATAAATCTTTTTAAAAAGCAAGTAGACTGACTCGGTCAGATAATTGGCGCAGCCAGATCGGATTTTCGGGCTGTTTCGCGAATCAATCGAGACCGCGAAAGCAGTTTTCGTATCGACGAATTTACCGGAAAAACGGCCTACGGACTAAAGACTTTGTTGAGTGGGAGTTCGAGCGGAACCGGTCTATCGAAGACTGCAGCTACCACCTACGAAGTCAGGGATTTGGACCACACATCGCCCAAATCTGCAAGCGGAACATTTTGGAGAAGGACCAGATCGCCCAACCAAGATCTTCCCCTTATAGTTAAGCAACCAAGTAAAGACAAAGAAAGAAACGTGATGCACTTGATCATCCTCGTATTAGCGTAAGTGCAACTATACATTTTAAATGTCTTTGGAAGATATTGCAGAAGCTATAGATAATTTGACACTTTCAACAGACTCACCTATTTTAAGACCACCTAGATTAAATATTGAAAATATTCCAAACATGTCTCAATTCAGACCAGAATTTTTAAATTGCGTCCCAGAGTTTGACGGAAATCCTAATGACTTAAATAGGTTTCTATCAGTGAGTGAAACATTAATTGCAAATTTTTATGATATACGGAACCCACATAATTTCCAAAATATCTATTTGCTAAATTCACTGATCTCGAAATTAAATGGAAATGCTAAAGTGCTTGTGAATATCCAAAATATCACAAATTGGGCAGATTTAAAAGACATTCTGACTAGGAATTTTTCTGATTAAAGAGATGAAACTTGTCTAAATCGTGATTT